TTCACCTGCTCCCCCTGCCCGCCGGTCCCCTCTGGCACATCCCGGCACATCCCGCAGCCTCTCGCACCCTGCCCCTCTCCTGGCTCAGCTGGGCAGGGAAGGCCCTTGCAGGTGTCCCTGAGATGCTCCAGAGGAGCCCAGGAAGATGAGCTGGGTGCCGGGAACTAGGGAGCATCCCCCCCCTTCTCTGTCCTTGAAGGCACCGGGTGGCTGTGACCTTCGCTGTCCAGCTGTTGGCTGTGGAGCTCGCGCACGTGCCCTGCTCTGCGCAGCCATCCGGCCCCTCGCTCCAGCCCCCTGGCTCTCGGAGCAGCCAAAGTAGCACAAATGCCTGTTCTGCATCAGCCCGGGGCAGAGGGGACAGGGGACTCTGCCGTTGAAGGTCACGGTCCCGCTCTCCTCTGGCTGTGGCTCTGGGCCCCCGCAGTGCCCGGTGAGGTCCATGGGTGCTGCCTGCTTTGCCTGGGGACTGCCACTTCCCTGCCCCAGAGCATCCTTTCTGGTTCTGTGTGATGGTGTTAGGGGTGGCACAAAGGTCCCTGTGTTACGGGGCACCTTGTCCCCTGTTGAGGCAGGGGGGCTGCCTCCACTGTCCCCTCACCCTGTTTCCATGTGGTTTGTGGGCACTGGCCCATGGCCGACTGCGACTGCGTCTGTAACGGTCCTGTGTGACGCAGGCAACGCTGAGGGTTTTGGGGCACTTCCCCGGCACCCATGAGGCCTCCGGAAGCGCCGCTTCCCGCCCATAAGACGAGGCCCGCGGGTGCTGCAGGACCTTTGAGATCCTGAGCCAGGGAGCGATGGAGCAGGGCAAAGCCCTGGCACGAACCCTCCCGGCGGTGCCAACCACCCCATCCCAAGGAAAAAGGCGGGCAGGGACCGGACAAGCCCGCGTTCTGGTTTGCCAAGCCGGGAACGGCGCACGGCCCTTGTGCAATGGGAGGGATGTCCCAATCGCTCTTCCTCCTTTCACAGCCTCCCTGCCCCCTCCGGCCGCGCACCGGGATCGGTGGCGGGACGCGGGGGCACCCGGTGCCGCAGGGATCGTGCTGTGCAGCCACGTGAACCGCGTTTCCACTTGGGGCTTTCGCCTTCTGGATAAGGCTGCACGGTGGCTCCTGTCCTGCCTGCGCTGGCTGGGTCCCAACGCGGCCTGTGGATCTGGGGATGCCCAAGGGGATGAAGGGAATTGCCTCCGGCTGCTCAGGAAATCCCTGCGGGGACTGTTAGGATAGGGGCAGGGGGCGAGGACTGGGAAGGCTCCTGCCTCCAGGGTGATGGTGGCAGCTCCAGCACGCGCCAGGGAGCTGATTTGGCTGGAAAAGTGACCCAGAATAAATGAATAAATAAATAAATAAAAGATGCCTGGATGAGGCCCCATGTGTGGGCAAGGAAATGCCCAGCCTGGGGGAAGGAGGTGGCAGCACCCAGACCCCTGGGGACAGAAGGGGACCCCGGATCTGTCCCCGGATGGGGACAACACGTGCCTTGGTCGCGTTTCCCCACCGAGAGCAGCTTCTGCTTGTGCTTAAAATAGAGGCGGGAGCAGCGGGCGGCGGGGAGGCTGCGGCCGCAGCGCGTGCAGCCGCCGGCCCCTCGCGACTCCTTCCCTGCCGGTGTCTCGGTCCCAGGGTCAGGCTGCAGCCTCGGTGTCCCCAGGGCCGGCAGCCCTGTCCTCGTCCTCTGCACCCTGCGCCGCAGCGAGGACAGGGCCGGGCAGGCCCTGCGTGCACAAACAGCCCCGGCAGGAAGCGGGGAGCGGTTTCGCCCGGGGTGGGGGGCCGCTTCCTGCACCGCGGGCCACATCCTGGCGCTGCCAAGGGCCCCGGCAGCGCAGGTGGCACCATGACGGCCTGCACGCCTGGGCTCCTCCAGCTCGGCCCCGTGCCCCGCGCTGCCACCTTCGGCCGGGCCCTGCCGCGGCCTCACACCCCTCAGACAGCAGAAGCCAACGGCCCCGGGACGTCCTGGTGTCCCGCGGTTGAGCTGAGGCTGGGAGCGTCTCCCACTCGTGACACAGATGAGGGGCTCCCGTGCCCAGTCCCGACACGCACCTCCCCACAGAGCTCCATGAACCTGCCCCCAGACAAGATGAAGTTGCTCAGCCAGTATGATGATGAGAAGAAGTGGGAGCTGGTGTGCGACCAGGTGAGGCCCCCGCGCTGCGGGGCTGTCCCCGCCGTGGCCGGCGCTCGCCCTCGGGGCATCACGGCGCCCTCGGGGCTCAGCCTTCCCCCCGCGCCCGCAGGAGCGCTTCCAGGTGAAGAACCCACCATCCGCCTACATCCAGAAGCTGAAGAGCTACCTGGACACGGGCGGTGTGAGCAGGAAGGTGAGGGACCATCTGCACGTCCCTGTGCCCATGACGGTCTCCTGCCCAGGGGGACCCCCAGCACGGGATAGCCGGGCAGGTGCCCACGGCTCTCCCTGTCTCCCAGTTCAAGCGGCGAGTGCAGGAGTCGACGCAGGTGCTCCGGGAGCTGGAGATTTCCTTGAGGACCAACTACATCGGGTGAGGACCCTGCCCATGGCGCTCCTTGCCAGCGTCCCTGGAGATGCGGGGTCCGGTTTGGGACACACAGGGTTGGCTTTTACCCCTGCCCTCTGCTCACTGGAGGTGCCTTGGAGCCCTTGTCCCTGCCGTCATTCCAGGATGGACCCTGTGGAGGTCCCCGGGAGTGACGTGGTGTTCTTGTGGCCCTGGGGTGATGCATCCTTGGGGCCCTGGTGTTGACACAGTGTCCTTGGGATCCCAGGGCTGACCTGGTGTCCTTTCAGCCCTCAGCATGACATAGTATCATTTCAGCCCTGGGGGTGACATAGTGTCCTGGTAGCCCTGGGGGTGACGCGGTGCCCCCGCAGTCCCGGCTCACCCCATGGCTCTGCAGGTGGGTGCAGGAGTTCCTCAATGAGGAGAACAAGGGCCTGGACGTGCTCCTGGAATACCTGTCCTTCGCCCAGTGCGCTATCACGTGAGTGCCCCCGGCCCAGGTGCCCGCAGTCCCCACGCGGGGCTGGCAGCCATCCCTGGGCACCCGCTCACCCGCCACCGCCTCCAGCAGGGACGGCATGGAGAGCATGGACAAC